AGGGTGGGTTGGAACAGGGGAACCGATTACAAGGATCTACATGTGACCTCCTCCCTGGGGAGTGGACAGCAGAAGAGTGGATAAGGGGAGACAGTGGACAGGGCAAGATATGACAAAATAATAATTTATAAATTATCAAGCGTTCACGAGGGAGGGGGGAGAAGGAGAGGGAAGGGGGGAAATGAGCTGTTGCCAGGGGCTTAGGTGGAGAGCAGATGTCGGGAATGATGAGGGCAGTGAATGTACAAATGTGCTTTACACAATTGATGTATGTATGGATTGTGATAAGAGTTGTATGAGCCCTTAATAAAACGATTTTTTTTAAATGTGGTCCATACAATGGACTACTACCCAGCCACTAGAAGCAGTAAAGTCTTGACCCATGCTACAATATGCATAAAGGTGAAAGACATGCTGAGTGGAATAAGTCAGTCACAAAAGGATAAAAGTGTGGCCTCATTTATGTAAAAAGGTGAAAAAGGGCAAATGTTGACAGAAGGAAGTTTATTATTAGTTACCAGGGGTGAGGGAGTGGGTTTGTCAGTTTCCTGAGGCGCTGCCTTCCGATCTCAGTCCTCAATGGACTGCTGACCTTGGGATTATTCCACTGACCTCAGATTCCTTCTTTACCTAGTCGCACCTCAACTGTCCATCCCACGACACTCACACACAGAGCTAGCAGACAGTACTTACAATTCATGATGCGTATTAGGGGAGCTAGCGGGTTACAAAAGGATAACTTGTTTGTCTCTGCCATGGGAAAGGGTAATGATAGAGAGATTCCTGCAAACAAGGTACCATTTTGTAACCTGTTAACTCCCTGCCATCAAGTCAATGATGACTCATTGGACAGAGCAGAACTGCCCCCTGTGAGTTTCCAAGACTAACTCTTTTCTAGAGTTGAAAGTCTCATCTTTTCTCTCGAGGAGTGCATGGTGATTTCAAACTGCTGACCTTATGGTTAACAGCCCAACACAGAACCACTGTGCCATCAAGTTCCTCATGTAACCTGCTAGTTTCCCTAAGGAACCCCTTAATCCTTAAGCCTTGGCCATGCTCTGTGGCCCAGGGTGCCCGCTCCTCTGCCTCATGGTCTGGGCACCGTTCCTTTGCTTTCTCTCATTCACAGTCTCAGTGCTGTTCCTCAGCTCTGTGTCATGATCTCCGTCCTGCTGTCTCCTCCTCCACTTTAGACATTCTGATAGCTTATTTTTCTTAATGGTCACAGGATACCCTGCCCTGCCTTTGAGATAGCTCACTCTTATACCCAGCAGGATGACAAAAGTGACCAGTCCCTGAGTTAGAGTTCTCTATACCTTAATCACATGCTCCCACTCACTCCCTATGGGTCCTGGAGGCATAATGCGTATAAGTTGGGCTGCCATCCGCAAGGTCAAACAATAGGGCATTCCATTCCCATAAAGAGCTACAATCTCAGATATCCACAGGGACAGTTCTTCTCTGTCCTATAGGGTCCCGTGAGTCAAAATCAACTCTATGACATTGAGTTTTGAGATCTACAGCTTCCTGAGAAAGAGTGTATTTGTGAGAACTTACATGTTTAAAAATGCCAATTTTGACTTGCTTTTTTCTAATAATAATAAGGTTTGGCTGAATTTCTATTCTAAGTTAAAAATTAAGCAACATTCCATTTTTATCTCCTTTCTAATACTGTAAGAAATCTTAACACCTTTCTGGACTTTGCGTGGCATCCCTTTTTCCTCTTAGCTCAATGAGGCCTTATGAGGCATAGTTAGCAACAGACCTCCACGTTGTCTCTCTGGATCTGGTCAGCTCCTATTTCATTAGCCTAAAATAAGCAAAGACCAAGTTGCTAAGCACCTCACAACTTAGAAGCTAAAGTTGTTAGAAGTCTCCCAAAAAGTATAATAAAAATATGGAAAATTGGAGTAAAAAGGGTAAAGTTAGAGAAGGATTTCTAAAACAAAAGGAGTTATAGTAAATGAAGAAAACATACATAAGAGAGAAAAAATTAGCAATTTCAGAAAATATTCTGGACCTGAGGACACATATTCTAGACTAAATGTCCAATAAAAGACCCCTCAACATAAACTCCTACCTGACACGTCATTGTGAAGATTCAGAACAGTCAGCAAGAAACTTTTTAATGGCCACTACTAAAATGAAATATTTACCCTTCATTGAGTGTGTAACTTTGTGCCAACTACATATTAAAACTTTACAACTTGTCCTTAAATTTCCCGGAAACCTCTTGAAACACATCCATGTTTTAAAGACACACTAATACTTAAGCAGGTTAAATTGTTTGCCCACTAACTATATCTAGTTTAAGTACATATGGCTTACAAATAACTAGGAAAAAACAAAATGGCAAAAAAAATGCAGGCCACCTGACCAGAAGTGACAACAGGGAAATCTAATCATCAGAAAGCTTGAACTTTTATCTTTATGTGTGTGATGTGTGTCTACATATGGATGTGGAATAATTACTCACTAGGTACTTTCATTCTGTTGTACATAGGGTCGATATGAGGCAGAAGTGCCTAACATCACCCACTAGGAAACCAAATTCTCAGACTGTATCTGAACCAACAGTTTTTTAAGGCTATTCACATCAGTGTTGTTCATGGAGCACAAGTGAACATTAATGTCCAACACTGGCAACGAAATACTGTGTAACCACATAAAACATCACGTTTTAGAAAAAAATAAGGCTAGAGGGAAAGCATATCTTAAATGAGAATTTTGAAATCAAGTATAAAACATCAATTTTGTTTTTATAATATAAACATACATACAAATTATGTTATTTGGAATAAAAGTGTTGGTGGGGTTCTTAGTAATTTTATCTCCATTAAGTACTTTTGCCCTATCACCAACCTCTAGTGTTTGTGTAAATAGTGCTCAGTCATTAAAGAGTTTAATCTGCACAAACCAACAATTCATGGATTGCAATTCATAGCCAGACTAAACTTGTATGATTTCCTTATCTCAACATTGTTTTAAATTCCATACCATTGACTAAATGAATGACCCATAATTACCTTATGCCTAGAAGGATGATTTACAATGTGTGTGTGTGTGTGTGTGTGTGTGTGTGTGTGTTATTGTTTGAAGTGAACTTGTTTGTCACAGGACTCCAAGTCCATTTCAGGTTCACTTTCCTCCTTGTTTCTTTAAGCCGCTCAGACCACTGTTTAGCTTTGAGGGCTAAGGAATCGGGAGGGATATTTATAATCTTCTCTATCATAAAATGATAATGATTTCTCTAAATTGACCCACACACTGTCGCTGAAGACAAAATGGGTGCATAAGCAAATGTGGTGAAGAAAGCTGATGGTGCCCGGCTATCAAAAAGTATAGTATCTGGAGTCTTAAAGGTTTGAAGATAAACAAGCAGCTGTCTAGCTGGGAAGCAACAAAGCCCATGTAAAAGAAACACTAGTCTGTGTGATCATGAGGTGTCAACAATATCGAGCATCAGAAGACCCAAAACAAACAACCATTTTTATGTGAATGAGAGGG